CCGACCGACAGTGGAACAACCGCAGTCAAAATGGACCGCAAGATGATGGGTCTTCAACCACTTTGACTTCACAGACCACAGTTTGCGATGAATGCTTTTTGAAACAGTTTGACATCTCCCATGAATTTGAGTTCCCTCCAGTTTCATGTACCCCAGCTTCAACATCTTCTACCCCAACAGCTGTTTTCTCCGTGCATGATGGTTCACTGCAGGCCTCACCAATGCCGGCAGCCAGCCAGCATTTGCAGGTGCAGTTGGGAACCACAGATGACAGAGTGCAATATTTCGATTTGAGTCGTGATGATGATGTTTTGGTAGAATTTCATGATCAATCTCCAACATTTGATTTGCAGATTTCTGAATCAGCGCAACCCAGTGTCAACAAACAGAACTTTGGAAGAGCAGTGCATTTTGAGAACCCGATGTTTTTCAACGTTTTCGTTTTCAGCTTTCTCCAATTTCTTCGTTTTGTTGCCACTTCATCCAATGCTTCATCGACTTCGAAGCCCACACAGATGCTCAAGAAGCTGATCCCGAGCATCCTGTGTCTCTGTGCTCGCTGGCATGAACCGCCTGCGCAAGGCCTACGCCAACATGGAGGAAGCTCCATCTGGTGGCCAGAAGGCGGAGAGAGCGCAGAGGTCATGGCGAAGGTTGATGATCGCGCTGTTCTTGACGATCAGTTCGATCAGACAGGAGATGGTCACAGAATATCTCCACCGGCGCATACCCCAGCCGGAAGACACAGAAAAGACGAAGGAGCCCAAGGAGCCTGCCAGAAAGACCAAAGACCCGAACTACAAGATTCGACAGGCCATTGGAGCTCCGCTGACAAGATCTACGGCTCAGAAGTCTTGGAACAAAGCAGTCGACGAGTGCATCCACGAGGAGGAGTACCTGAGGCATCGAGCCTCCAAGGGCCACTACTGGTTCACATGTCTTCAGTGCGGAGGCAGGTGGGAGAGATTAGAAGCAGCAGCATCGAGCTCAACTCAGATCGTGGAGACGGCTACAAGGGCCAGCTATCCAACTTTCTTGCCACCTCCAAGGAGCAGACCAGACCTCCCGACACACCGTGTTTTGGTGAAGCCGGTGACGGATGCCACAACAAAGACTTCGACAGCTATGGCAAGAGCCTCAACTATGAAGACAAGAGGACGATCTGCCGAGAGACTGGATGGATTGAATCCAGTGCAACGATCCAAGACACCATCAGTGGGACCTACATGCAAACCACTGAGGACAGCAGCGATCGAGGTTTTCCAGATGGCCAACGAGGCAGACCCCAACGAATTCGACATGCCAGAATTCTCCCCGGAAGAGATTGCCCAGATGAATGCCGAGGCCTACATGGAGATAGCAAGGCAGGGCATGGGCGAGGACTTTTGGACGGCCACGGAGGAGGAGCGGCATCAGTTTTTGGAAGCTATGACGGATCCATGACTTCAAAAGCCTTTGAGGATCCGAAGCAGAACCAGCTTGATGACAAGCGCTACGACAAAAAGAATGACACCACGAACAACACCAAAAGCTGCCGAAAGTTCACCTTCAAGGCGGAGTTGAAGCACAGTGCCCAACTTGGCAAATTCAACAACTTGGCCAAGGAGGTGTCAAAGATTTCGAAGCTAGCAGTGGTGTTGCTATGCACGGTGGTATCCACTTGCGAAGCCACTTGGGATGCCTCTAGAATTCATTCCTTTGTACAACTTCCGCACTGGCTGGGCAGTTCCCAGCATCAATTTTTCCAAGCAGATGAATCAACTACATGGATGCCTTTTTCAAATGACTCAGAATTCAAGGCCAAGCACCTTCGACTATGTTGGGTTTTTCCTTTGAACAGATGCCATCAAAACTGGTTTGCTGAAGATTTGGAATGGTCGCAACGACCCCAGGGAATCCCAAAGAAGGTCAAGGTGTTTTTGAAATCCTCTGTGAACAGCCATTTTGGCGTTGATGTTACAGAGCTCTACAGTCCGCCGAGGGTGACAAAAGAAGCAAAACTGCAAAACTCAAAGGGCCTCAAGCCAGCATGGAAGGTGGGACAAGCTTTGGACCTCACTACTGGATACGACTTCAGATGCCCCAAGACCAGATTCAAGGTCAAGAAGCTAGTCCAGACTACGAGACCAAGCTTGGTGATTTTGTCACCTCCATGCACAGTTTTCACACCCCTGCGGAACCTTTCCAATTACAAGAGAGATCCATTGGTGGTTGCTGCTGAAGAATCCGAAGGAGAACTTCACTGGGATTTTTCACTTGAGATTGCCGAGGACCAGGATGATGCCAATCGAGCTTTTCTTTTAGAACAACCAAAACTGGCGAGATCTTGGCACAAACCTCGAGCTCAAAGACTTTTGCAGCGCCCCGGGATCTATGTCTTCACAGTCGACATGTGTGCCTTCAAACTGATGACAAAAGATGGCCTCCTAGCCAAGAAGCCCACGTTGTTGGTGACAAACAGCTATGCCCTGGCCAAGGTTCTTCACCGCAGATGCACAGGTGACCATGTGCACCGATCGCTGATCAGAGGAAGAGCAGCTGCCGCTGCTGAGTACTCCAGACCCTTTGTGCGTGCAATTTTGCAGGGTCTTCGACAGCACTTGAAGTTCCACGGGGTAACCTTCATGGAGGAGGACACCAACAATGCAGCAGCTCAGGACCTACCGGCCATGTCAACCACAATGTTCCAGGCCGTGCAGGCAGAGCTACAAGCTTGGGCTCAACCTTTGTCTCAGTTTGCAATTTATGAAGAAGATTTCCAACAAGAGCTGGAGGTTTTTCACCAACAAGTGTTTCCATCACAAAGAATTTTGGGTGGCGAGAGTGGGCGCCTTCCAACTTTGCGTCGTTTGCCGCTGCCAACCATCGATGAAGATGCTGCAAGAGCCATCGACCCTGTGATGGAAAGAACGAAAAACCAGCTCAGACCTTTAGCAGAATCAGATCAACTTCAACAACAAGCTCAAGATGCTCGCGAACACACTCGCAAGGATGGACGGCTGACAATTCCAGCCGAACTGAGAAGAGAAGTGTTTAGGTTGCATCGCAACCTGGGTCATCCTGACCTTCAAACCTTTTTGAGAGCCTTGCGTCATGCCCAGGCAAAACCTGAAGTGGTGGAATGGACCAAGAAGGAGTTTCGATGCCCCATTTGCGAAGCTTCGAGAAAGCCATCCATTCCACGACCTGGACATTTGGTTCGCAGCCTTGAGTTCAACCAGACAGTTGGGACCGATGTGGTCTACTTTGAATGGAAGGGTGTGAAGTACCCCCTGATGAACAACATGTGTTGGGGCACCGGCCTTCAAATCATGACACGAATGGAGCAAGTCAATGCCGAGAACACCTACCAAGCCTTCCTGGCGAATTGGGTGATTCCGTTTGGAGTTCCAAACATCCTCATCATGGACCAGGGCCGTGAATTCTTCGGCGAAGAGTTTTCTCAGAGAATCATGGAGATGGGAACCATGGTCCACTTCACGGACACCAACTCTCCATGGCAAAATGGGAGGACAGAGAAAGCCGGAGGCATTTTCAAGGAGAAGCTGGCCATGGTTTTGGATGAAACTTCGGCAATGACTTTGGAAGACTTGGACATATGCATCAAGGAGGTGCAGATTGCCCGCAACAGGTATTTTTCCAAGTCAGGCTTTTCGCCTTACCAGCGAGCCTTTGGAGTCAATCCCAGACTTCCTGGAAGTTTGATGAGCGATGACTTCCTCAATCCTGAACTTCTACAAGTATCAGCATCTGCCGACATGCGCAAGAGCTGGGCGATCAGAGAAGCCGCAGCCATTGCATGGATGAAACAACAAGATATCGAAGCAGTCCGCAGATCTGTGAAAGCCAAAACAAGGAGTTCAGATTTGAAAGAGCTTGCAGTGGGCGAATGGGTTTTCATTTGGCGTTCAATTCCTGGTTTTACGGGTTGGTCAGGTCCTGGAGTTCTTCTTGCAATTTCTCCTTCTGAGAAATCAATGTGGGTTTCCTTGAGAGGGCACCTTATGAAGGTTTCCAGAGAACATTTGAGGTCAGCTACCTCAGAAGAGCATTTGGGTGCCGAGTTGATCAAGGAGCTCTCTGCCGAGATGCTGAAGGACATCCAAAGTGGTCGCATCAGACAGTACCACGACCTGACAAACGAACCAACTCCTGACCAAGAGCGTCAATTAGCCATCACAACAGAAGCCATTCCTGAACATGAAGTTCGAGATTTTGTGGAGCCGGACGAGCCCTACACACCAACATCACCTCTGCATGACTTGGATGGTGACGATGACGTAGAGTTGCCACCTTTGGAACCTGTGGTGAATCAACCCGATGCCACTGACGTTCCAATGCCAGAAGTTCCAGCAGAAGATGTCAGCACGAGAATCCCATCACAAGCTGCCACAACTTCCAATGCTCCAAGTTTGAGAAGCGAAGTGCCAGCGTCACGGACTGGAGCGGGAATCATGGTTGATGAAGGGATTGGAGGAGTTCTGGGTGCTTTGAGATCACGACAGACCACACCCAGAGTTAGCCCTTATCCACATCCATTCTCCAATCCACCTTCCTTGCCATCTATGCCACCGACACCGAGCAATGCTGATTTTGTTAACAGTTATTTTGAGGTTGTCGAGTTTGAGGAGTTCCGTCCACGACACAACAACTGGACGAACGGGTCAGATGGAGCAATGTGGTGGACAGATCAGAGAACTGGAGCGGTGGGCCTAACACCTCTCTCTCAAGAATCTTTCACCGCTGCCGACGCTGAATGCTCTTTCAGCTCCTCGGACAAGTGCATGTTTTTGACCAAGGTGAAAACTTCTCCTGGCCAGATTGAGTTCCGCAAGTTGAACGACAAGCACCGTGAGATCTTTGTGAAAGCACGGACCAAAGAGGTTCAATCTTTGCTGGACAACAAGGCCATTCGCATTCTGTCTCTGGAGGAGAGCAACAAGTTCAGAAAGGAGTTTCCCGACCACATACTTCCCTCACGGTACGTGGATCGTTGGCAGCCCACTGGAGACAAGTTTTCTGTTTTACCAGAAGGTTTTGATGAAGCTGGTTTTGAGCCGATGAACGACTCTGGATTGGCTGCAAAGAGCAGATGGTGCGTTGTTGGATGGAAGGATCCACTTATCCACGCCATCGAAAGGAGTGCACCAACACCTTTGTCAACATCAATTTATTTGTTTTTCCAGCTTTCTGCTACCAGGCGATGGAGGGGCAAAGTGAAAGATGCCAAAACAGCGTTTTTGCAATCGTTGCCAACCACCAGAAAAAACAAACTGGCTTGTACCATGCCGCCGGACTGGAATTTTCCCGGTTGCGTGGACGGCCAATTGGTGCTTTTGGAAACAGAAGTTTATGGGTTGGTTAGTGGACCAGCTTGGTGGAGGAAAACGTTTCTCCGCGTCTTGACCAGAGAGCTTGGATATCGCATCAGTCCATTTGACAGGTGCGTGTTGACCTTAGACAGCTCAAGCCATGCAGCTGATGCTGAGACCCAAGGAGTGATCGTCGTGGAAGTGGACGACATTCTGGAAGCAGGCAATGCCGAGCATCAGAAGCGTATGGCATGGCTGGAGACAAAGCTTCGATTTGGCAAGACCGTGGACTTGATGGAAGAAAAGCATGGTACTGGCTAGGCAGGACGAAGAGTTCGCCAACTTGCTGATTTTGGGTATGAATACAGCATGGACGATTACACTCAGAATCGTCTGCGACCAGTCACTCTGGAACGAAAGGTCCTCCTAAAGAATGCCAAGGAGACTGCCTTGAACGAGTCCGAAGAAGCACAACTTCGTGGCTCAATTGCAAGTTTGAATTGGGCAGCTCGCGAAGGACGTCCCGACGCAGCTGCTGCAGCTTCAATTTTGGCAGGATCCTTTCCAGGACCCAAAGTTCACCATGCTTTGGAAACAAACAAAGTGGTTCAAAAGATCAAAGGAACTTCAGTGAAACTGCGAATACATCCGATTCCAGAAAAGGATGTGAGACATGTGGTTATCGCAGATGCTTCCTTTGACCCTACAGGCAAAACCAAGCCACAACATGGATGGCTGCAGGGTATCACCAGTCCGAAGCTCAACCAAGGACTACCTGCACCCATTTCTTTGATTGGCTGGAAATCGAGGAGACTTCGCAGAAAGGCAGGTTCAACAATGCTGTGTGAGTCAATTTCTTTATCAACTGCACTTGGCGCTTTGGAGAAACAGATTGCGACCTGGGACAGTATCAGAATTTCTCGATACGATGTCCGCCAAAGACGCTTGGAAGAAGATGACTCTGGAATGCATGGCGAGCCAACTGTGCTAGCCTCTGACGACCCTCTTCACCAAGATCCATTGTCGCTTGCGATCGTGGATGCCAAGTCGCTGTTCGATGGTGCAGCTTCAGAACAAGCGTCTGGTGAAGATGACAGGTCGGCACTGGAAATAGCCATCATTCAAGACAGCTTGGCTCGATGCAAGGGCCGTTTACGCTGGATTCCACACAATCTGAACCCTGCCGATATGCTGACAAAACTCTCTCAAGCACATGAACTGCCGATGATGAAAATGCTGAAGACCAGCATGTTCCAAATAGCTGCCGAAGAAGACATTCTTCGAGAGGGCAGACAACATGAGCAGCGAAAGAAAGTCAAATACGACCCAAAAGATATTATGGGGGCTGATGTCATTGGAGAACAGTTGAGTCATATTTGAATCATTTTGCTTTCTTTCCGTTGCTGTGTTATCTCAAAAGGCCTTGAGTCACCATGGCGCGCATCCATAAAACAACCAGCGCCTTGCGTTGTGCCCATGTGAGTTTATCCAATCTTTGATTGGCGGCTTGTTTACAACTCACCCCAACACTATGGAGCGCACAAATTGGTTTGATGCATGCCCATTGCGACCAAGGAACTCTTTTTGCCGGTGACAGAGGCCGAAACTGAAGATGATGCGAGTACCACCTGTGCCAGTGGGTTGCTTGGCAGGGTGAGCAGCTGCAGAGCGGGGCTTTGGGCAGCCAAAAATACATATCATTGCAAAATTGTATGTTGAAGGATCTATGGCGCGAGTTTGCACTAGCACAGTTGATGGATTGCATGATGGATTGCAGGTGCATGAAACAATGGTCTCGCCGCTTTGAGGTCGTCAAAACCTTCTCTAGCGCAGGGTGTCAGGCATACTGTGAGAGTTGCAATCCTTATTTACAGGAGCATATGAATGGGTTACCAATGGGGTTCCATGGGAATTCTAGAAGTATAGGTCATTAATGGGGATTATATATATATACATAATTCTATGTATATATATATAATATACATACAAAACTATATGGGAAATGTTTCCACTCTGATCCATGCCAAGAAAAGACAACATAATTCTACATGATACCCAGATGAACGCCATATACCAATAACTAACATAGCAATGGAAAATGGTCTGTTTGTAGATTAGATGATTTGCCTATTCAAAATGCTGGCTTTCGGCTTGTTAGATTACTAGATGGTGACTTACATGGGTTTGTTTGAAAATAGGATGCCCCTGAATTTGGTGGTTGCTAATTTGATGGCCATTTTGTGGGCATATCATATGACATTTTCAGACATGTCCACAAATCATATTGGTGAGTAGTGTGTCCATTATCGCATCATTATCTCCATTATATTCCCAGAATATCACCATTATCATGCGTGATTCTGGACTGGAGTGTATATATATATAATAATGTAATATCATATAACTTCGTTAGTTTACTGGAGTGTACAAATTCCCATGATATTCCCATTATATCATCACTATCTCACCATTTTAATGCCTGGCTTACATGATCTCATCATATCATTCAACAGCATTATCCCCAATGATTTGGATTATATTCCCATAAGATTTCCATAAAATTCCCATGGAGGCACTGCCTCATGTACCTCCAGATCTGCGAGCGCGAGCCGCCCTTTTCAGTGCGCTGGGCTCGTGATCATCTTCGGGCGCTGCTAGCAGGCCGGACAAAACCACCATTTCTCGATGATTTTCCGAAAAAAAAACATGTGTTTTTCATATTTATATTAGTTTACCCTAGGGTATATTACTGTTTTTTTCTTGAATATTATTTGTTTATTCTGTGTTCATGGCGTTTTATAGTTTTATTGGGCCTGTTATTGTTTTTTTTTTTAAAATGTTTTTTCATATTTTTTTAATCGTTTTTATGGTGATATATCATGGGATACCGACCAACAATCGGATATTTGGGTGTGTCTGACATGTGGTATACTATATACCCTTCGGAAATAACACACCCATGTAGCTGGGAAATCCCCCCCTTCAATTGAGGATGTGGATTTTTCATGGTGTGATGGGACATTTTGCAACGAAAACTTGATGATTTTTTGGTCCGTCCCAAGAAATGGTCAACCAGTGGATTTCTGGGTATCATATGTCCAGACAAATCCATAGTAACCCCCGAAAAGATTCAGAAAAGGTTAACTCTTCTGCTAAATGTTAGAATTGATTTTATAACATGATTCTACTTTTCTATCCTGGGGGCCTGGCGGTTGATGTCAATCTTCGAAGCGAGATATTGATATCCCATGGTCAATGGCACATGAATAGCAAGTTGAGCAGGAAATGATCGATACCATTTTGGGACAACCTATGTCGTCATATCTGCTGGAGAACAAAACGTAGACAAATACAATGGATTGGTTTAAGGGAAAATCTACAGGAAACCATGGATTTTACCATCAAATATAGGGTTTTCCTGTAAATTTTCCCATCATCCAATTCTATGTCAAATACAATGACAAATACAATGTGGCTGGGAACATTGGCTCATGTTCCCTGCTTCGCTGCAGACAGACTTTCTTCTGAAACGGCCAATGAGGCCCGGTTTCTTGAATCATCAATAGTAATGGATACCACTGGTGTATCAACTACAACTATATAGTTGAATATCAACTACATGAATATCAAAACAACAACAGTGATCCAAAGGATGTAGCCTCTCGCAGTTAACATAGCTATTGGAGATAGCGCATGTATAGATGGTTTACCCATAAATATAGGGTGGAAGTGGATGGGGAAACATTGGGCGCCCACAGATTTGACGTTCACCAGGCAGCTCGAAACTGGATCTGCTTGCGTTGCTGGATGCGGTTCCTACGGATGCGGCCCTCAGCATTCCGCAGGACATGTCCGCCTTCGCACCAGAGAGGTGACTTGGATCGGGGCGGCAGCTGGGGGGTTCCATAAAGCTACCCCAAAATGGGTAAATGAATTGTTTATAATCGAAAATCCTATTAAAATCCTATTAAAATGCATGATAAGTGGGGGTACCCGAATGGATTGGAAACCTCCATATGGTCCACACCCAACACTTGGCTCAAGACACCCTGGTTGATTGTTGGGGATCAGAAAGACAGCCCCACGTGGGAACCATGTTGATTCGACAGTAATATCTCCTATTCGACAACATGCTGAGAGATCTCTCTGTTTGTAATGAACCTCATCAGGCCACCTTCGTGCGATTGCCGGTGTCGGATCTTTGGATCTTTGGATCGCCGAGGAAAATCCACTGGAAGGAGATCTGTCAAGACTTCCGTGATGTGATCAAGACCATCTCTGTGCATGAAGGTGGGGCCGGGGGGTGATGGATTGTAGCCCATTGAGTGGGCTGCTGTTTTGTGCAGATTGCGAACCAAAGGGAGGTCCCGCCAGTCTCACCTCACCGGCCCAGAGATCACCTTTGCTGTTTTGTCAAGGGTAAAGATATTATCTGTACAAATTAGAGCGGGCCCAGCCGAGGAACGAGGTAGGGTTTGTAGATTTAACGAGCCCAGCGACGAGGTAGCATTCTTGAATTTAAGGACAAGTGGTTTTTTCTGAGTTGGAAGTAGTACCGTGTTGGGTTTTTTCTTGTTCAAAACTGAGATTTTGGAACTACTTTTTTTCAGATTGCTTGGAACATAAAAAAACTTTTCGATTCAAAATTGCTTTGCTCTGAGTTAGAAGTAGTACCGTTTTGGGCTTCTTCTTGTTCAAAACTTAGATTTTGGAACTACTTTTTTCAGATTGCTTGGAACACAAGAAAGCTTTTCGATTCAAAATTGCTTTGCTCTGAGTTAGAAGTAGTACCGTTTTGGGCTTTTTCTTGTTCAAAACTTAGATTTTGGAACTACTTTTTTTTTCAGATTGCTTGGAACACAAGAAAGCTTTTCGATTCAAAGTTGCTTTGTTCTGAGTTGGAAGTAGTACCGTGTTGGGTTTTTTCTTGTTCAAAACTGAGATTTTGGAACTACTTTTTTTCAGATTGCTTGGAACACAAAAAAGCTTTTTCGATTCAAAATTGCTTTGCTCTGAGTTAGAAGTAGTACCGTTTTGGGCTTTTTCATGTTCAAAACTTAGATTTTGGAACTATTTTTTTTCAGATTGCTTGGAACACAAGAAAACTTTTCGATTCAAAATTGCTTTGCTCTGAGTTAGAAGTAGTACCGTTTTGGGCTTTTTCTTGTTCAAAACTTAGATTTTGGAACTACTTTTTTCAGATTGCTTGGAACACAAGAAAGCTTTTCGATTCAAAGTTGCTTTGCTCTGAGTTGGAAGTAGTACCGTTTTGGGCTTTTTCTTGTCCAAAACTTAGATTTTGGAACTACTTTTTTTTAGATTGCTTGGAACACAAAAAAGTTTTTTCGACTCCAAGTTGCTCTGCTTTTACTTGGAAGTAGTACCGTGTTGGGTTTTTTCTTGTTCAAAACTGAGATTTTGGAACTACTTTTTTTCAGATTGCTTGGAACACAAAAAAACTTTTCGGTTCAAAGTTGCTTTGCTCTGACTTGGAAGTAGTACCGTTTGCAGGGCCAAAATCTAAATGGGGTACCGTTAAGCTTCAATAATTTCCAAACCTCCGTTTTAGGTAACAGCATGGTTTCCATTAGTGGCATTCTAGCCCCCTACCATGTCACTGACACAGGGCACCTCTATTTCAATAATACCCGTGACAAAGCCTAAACCCAGACCTCCGAACAAGTAGCCCCAAATAATGCATATCGATGTCCAAAGATTGTTTTTTGGGACTACTTTTTTTGGGGGAATTGGTTGTAATCTTCAGCTATCTCCAAAGCACCGTTTTTGGTGACATCATGGTTTCCACTAGTGGCATTCATGGCCCCCTACCATGTCACTGACACAGGGCACTTCTATTTGAATAATATCCGTGACAAACCCTAAACCCAGACCTCCGAACAAGTAGCCCCGAATAATGCATATCGATCCCCAAAGATTGTTTTTTGGGACTACTTTTTTGGGAAATTGATTGTAAGCTTCGGCTATCTCCAAACCTCCGTTTTTGGTGACATCATGGTTCCCATTAGTGGCATTCATGGCCCCCTACCATGTCACTGACACAGGGAGGGCACTTCTATTTGAATAATATCCGTGACAAACCCTAAACCCAGACCTCCGAACAAGTAGCCCCAAATAATGCATATCGATCCCCAAAGATGGTTTTTTGGGACTACTTTTTTGGGAAATTGATGGTAAGCTTCAGCTATCTCCAAACCTCCGTTTTTGGTGACATCATTTGTTCCATTAGTGGCATTCATAGCCCCCTACCATGTCACTGACACAGAGCACCTATTTGAATAATACCCGTGACAAAGCCGAAACCCAGACCTCGGAACAAGTAGCCCCAAATAATGCATATCGATGTCCAAAGATGGTTTTTTGGGACTAGTATGCATTACTATGCATTACTATGCATTAAAATGCATTGCTATGCATTACTATGCATTACTATTACTATGCATTACTATGCATTACTATGCGTTACTATGCATTTCTATGCATTACTATGCATTACTATGCATTACTATGCATTACTATGCATTACTATGCATTACTATGCATTACTATGCATTAGTATGCATTTGTATGCATTACTATGCATTACTATGCATTACTATGCATTAGTATGCATCACTATGCATTAGTATGCATTACTATGCATTACTATGCATTACTATGCATTACTATGCATTACTATGCATTCCTATGCATTCCTATGCGTTCCTATGCATTACTATGCATTGCTATGCATTGCTATGCATTGCTATGCATTGCTATGCATTACTATGCATTACTATGCATTACTATGCATTACTATGCATTACTATGCATTACTATGCATTACTATGCATTACTTACTATGCATTACTATGCATTACTATGCATTTCTATGCATTTCTATGCATTTCTATGCATTTCTATGCATTACTATGCATTTCTATGCATTTCTATGCATTTCTTTGCATTTCTATGCATTACTATGCATTACTATGCATTACTATGCATTACTATGCATTACTATGCATTACTATGCATTACTATGCATTACTATGCATTACTATGCATATGAGTCTTTCGTTTTGCCCAAAGATAGCCAGCTTGGTGAGTCTGCCGCAGCATATCATGGCAAATCCCTTTTCTTCTCGGTTCAAGTCTCTATAGTTCTAAGTCCTTTGCCAGTGATATCCCTACATGTTCGTTTTGGTTCCGCGACCTTTCGCAAACATCACTTGGAATGGTGCCAAAGTATTGGTTGCACCCCGCTCATTCAGCTGATGTATGTAACAGGAAACCTCAAGTGAACTGTGACGGGAAAGACACATTCTTGATTAAGTCAATTTTTTCGGATATCCCCATCTTGATGGGAAAATCAGGCAAAATCCCAATCTTCTTGAACACATCCGCATTTTTTTCAGGGAAAACTCTTCCATTTACTCTCAGGTTCCCTCAGATACTCAAAACGGGAAAGTGCCTCGGTTGTGCACGCGAAAACCGACTCGGCTGTGCACGCGAAAACCACCTCAGTTGTGCACGCGGATGATGATGATGATGATGATGATGATGATGATGATGATGATGCATTACTGTGTGATGTATTGTTATTGCTATTCCAGTCATTCGTAACTCGGAAGATTGCTTCCCAACTTCCTCTGATAATGAAGTTAAGCAACGGGTGTGGCTGGTAGATCCTACCCTTTTCTTCCCTAGCCCCACCCCACCCCCCAAGGTTGAAGTGTGATGGTAAGTCAAGGGAAGCGGAGTAGCGGTTGTGTCCCTATAATGAAGTCAAGCAAAGGGTGTGGCTGGTAGATCCTACCCTTTTCTTCCCTAGCCCCACCCCACCCCAAGGTTGAAGTGTGATGGTAAGTCGAGGGAAGTGGAGTAGCAGTTGTGTCCCTATAATGAAGTCAAGCAACGGGTGTGGCTGGTAGATCCTAGCCGGTTACCCTTTTCTTCCCTAGCCACACCTGAACCCCCAAGGTTGAAGTGTGATGGTAAGTCGAAGGAAGTGGAGTACTGTAGCGGTTGTGTCCCTATAATGAAGTTAAGCAACAGGTGTGGCTGGTAGATCCTACCCTTTCTTCCCTAGCCCCAGGGAAGTGGAGTAGCGGTTGTGTCCCTATAATGAAATTAAGCAACGGGTGTGGCTGGTAGATCCTACCCTTTTCTTCCCTAGCCCCACCCCACCATACCCCACCCCCCAAGGTTGTGTGTACAAGTGTGTAATTTTTGTGTGTACAACTGAGTCGAAAATCTGTGTGTACAACTGAGTCAGTTTTATGTGCGCAAGTGAGTCGCTTACCTTCAAAACGTGGCTTACTTAAAAAAAAAACAATTTTAAAGATGAGTTTCCCAGCTCTAAACCTCCGTTGATAAACGATTTATCATGATTTATCCATATTTTTTCATGATTTCCCAATGATTTTCCCAGTGTTTTCGCAGATTTCCCAGCGTTTTCGAGGCCTTTGCTCTGAAGAGTCCAGACACTGGAGGCCGGACCTCCCCTGGGGCACTGCGCGGACGCGACCAGCGCTGAAGGGCATGGGGCAGCTTGGAAAATGTGTAGTTTGGACCAGTTGGGACATTCCCATGGGGTACACTAACAATCACTAACATAGATGTGGAAAAAACCCATGGTTTCCTTAGGAAAACCATTTGCAAATGGTGGGGTTTCTACGTCTATGTTAGTTGGCAGGAGGGTATCCCCCCAATTTATGGCGACTTCAATGGGCCAGATGAGGTTTAAACCGCAATATTGATTTGGAAGGATTGTAGCGGGAGATTTTTTTGAGCAACAAAGATGGGTATTTAACCAGCCAAAAATGCAAGAAATTGGGTATACCGTATAACTTATAGCCTGTATACTCACAAATATGGTATCGACACCAACAAAACCAAGAGTTTTTTTTTTCTCAAACACGGGGCTCCCAAAGCTCACGTTTTGTGGAGTTTGGAAGTACATGGGGAGAGTGACAAAAGATTCATTCTTCCTTTTCAGAAGTAAAATGCAATAGGTTGTTTCTTGCACTTATAGAATGGGTCTTGTAAAACCATTGTGTTCTTGGTGAAGTTGTTGTCGCCCTATTAGCCTGGTGTCAGTGTCAGAGCTCATTCGTATGTTGGGCCTGCTCTGGTCTCGAGGTATTCGTTGGTGGTCGAAGGCCCTACCGACCTGGAGTGGCAGCCGTCAACTGGTGGTTTCAGGTGGTAGTTTCCAATAGATCCCCTTATGAAAGCGATCATGATCGTGGTACCCTGTATCCATAGGATTTCCAACCAACCCAAACCACGAATTCACCAATTGAGCCATGAGAAGTACCCCTGTTGGTTGGGTATTATACAGGATTTATACTACCTGGTTTATTATATAATGCTATATAATGGGTTATTCTATTATACAACCCATCGTAGGGAAGCCTATCAACCAACTAGTATAATGAGATGGGATAGGGGTATTCTTCATGGCTCAATTTGTTCAACAGCAATGTCACCGCCTAAGCCACTCTGCCAATCAGGTGCCAGCGCCGCGCAACAAGCGCTGCTCCGTGGTGCACCAGTCTCAAAGCGCTTTGCCGAGCGGCAGAAGCTGAAAGCTTTGGCAATAAAGTTCCTTGGTGACACTTGACCACGTGGCATAAGAGACATCGATTTATTGATTTATTGATACATGCTATGCACTTTAATTTACTGCAAGACTTGCAACCGAAACAATGAGTGACCTCTTTGTTGTAGCAAGAAACAACAATGAACTGCACACAGGCACACACTTTAGAAGGTCTTATTTTCTGTTGGAAAACACAGACGGCTTGGAAATAGTGCAATGGACTGTTGCCCTGCCAGGAGTTGCTTCCAAGCCGCTTCCAGGTCAGAGCGACGTAAGACTCAGGCGACCTAGGAAGCTGAACTGGCATAGGAGTTGAAGTCGTTTGAGGCTTCAGCCTATTGCCTACAAGATCTCTGATTTCCAGGCTTTAACAAGCTGGTTGCTGCAAAGCAGCTGGAGACGTTGTGTCCTTCGTTGAGGGGAAAAGGACAAACAGGGACCAACAGGCAATCCATGAGGCAACATAATCATTCTTTGACCCGGCAGCTGTGATGACAGTGCCATTTAGTGTGGGCATGTGTGGGCATTAATCACCTAAGGCTAGTCTATTGACCAACCGGTAGAATGCATCCACGGGCACAGCCCCTTTTACTGGGAGCAAAAAGACACTTGTTCAAAACAGATTTGATACACAGCAGTCTCCGATTATATAAAGGGGCTTTCCCATTTTCATGGCGATTGCATTTTCATCTTTTCTGGGACCCGCTGGCTGTGGCTGACAGCCCTGACAGCCCTGACAGCCCTGACAGCCCTGACAGCCCTGACAGCCCTGACATCCCTGACAGGGACCTGGACTTTGCACAGCAAGAGGTGGAGAGACTTCAAGGGCAGGCGCTCCAAATTCATTGGCTTCCCGTTTTTTTTTCATGGCCAAAAGTGGGCTTTACTAACTATACTAACTAACCACTTTCACAGCATATCCATATGGCAGTGTGTCAAAACCTTGTACCCCTGTAGTTCACATCAAAATAGCTGGTAAATGGATGTTCATTCCCCTAAAAACGGTATTAATAGGTATTGATCCATATCCATATGAACTATATTTACGGTTGACATCATGTGAAATCGATGGCTTTGTGCCAGTTGGAGCAGCTTCGCTCTGAATCCGTGGGCAAGAGCTCGGACCACCAGAGGCCTGGATTCACCGTTTGTCCTTGGGATGAATGGCACATGGGTTTGTCTGATTGGATTTTAATCCAATGGGTTAAATTTTTAGTTAGCTAGGTTAAATCATTAACCATGAACTATGGTCATCAAGCCATTTTCCATAGTTTCTGTCTTGGTAGCCATGGTGTGAGGGGATTCCCGATGTTGCGAAACGCCAGATCGGTGGAGCAACTGACCTTGGACTTCCAGTCACGTTTGGAGTCGCTGGAGGAGCAGAAGAGCCTGGAGGAGCCAAATGGGGGTCAAAACATGTCAAAACCCTATGATTCCCGGATGATTTCCATATGATTCCCATAGGGGGAATCAATATCCATCAGGTATTTTAGGGTAGGGTGCCAGGGTGACGAAACGGTGCAGGCAAGACAGAAGCACGAGCTCGCGCTGAGTCTTCGAAGTGTGGAGGTGCAATTTTTCAAGATTTCAGCAGGGACAGTATCAGTAACTCATTGTCAATGGCTCATGATACCTACTGTGAGAGTGTCTTAAAATGGGGTATTTACCCCTGAAGTTATGGACACAAACGTGGAAAATCAAGAGGGAACATGATGATGCCCACAGTGGATCCGGATTTTTTGTTTCCCCACGTGTTTATATGATGTTCCCACTTATGGGATCACCCAGTGATTCCAATACCCATCATTACAATTACAACTTGCCCAAGGAACGCAGCCGATCGGACCTGGCACAACTCGAGGCGCTTTTTGGGACGCCCGATTCACGTTGGATGTTGCGATGGAACATCAGGGTTGAAGGTTTTTCACAACAAAATGTGAATATCCACAATATTGACAAAATCAGGGTTAGTCACTAGGTTAAAGTATTTCAATATGTTGAAATATCTCTTGACATATCTTTTGACATATCTTAAAATGGATATTAGCGACATTGGTCCATTGTTGGTCATCGGAGGGATCGTCGTGATTTGTCATGTTTCCATTGAACCATGGGACTGGAGAGTCCACAAGTGGATGCTGACTCGCCCAAGGGTCGAAGATTCGAAGATTTGAATTGGTTTGTCTGAAACTATGCTACCCGAGAATCCAATGGTTTGGCAACAGGTAGATATTTGTCATTTTTGGATAGGCTTGACTTATTCAAACGGCAGGGAGGTACATTTATATGCTATTTTTTGTTGGTTTCCCACAGGTTGTCTTCCTCCACCAAGTCACCCTACAGGCTCAACGCGATCAGCTGGAATTGCAATGCACCGCCACGGGCTTAGATGAATGGATATTTACCCTCCAACAATAGGGATTCAATGGGCCTGACTGAGGATGTAATGGAACATACAATGTGCCTGGAAATGGGGACACCATCAAACTGGCCCATGATATAAATTATATAGGTAAAATGATGGTAAAGCAATGGGCTTGGGGGCTTAGGGATATACTATTTTCAGACCCCTCCAAAAAATTGTTTTTTTTTGGGATACTGGGACGCATATGAGCCATGGCCAAAAGTTGGATTTATATATGAACCCAGTATCCGGATTCCCATTATGAGATGAATGACCCTAGGCGCGCTAAATGGTGGAAGGTATTACTAAGGTTTGCTATGCCACGTTGTCTTTTTCCCACAAATGTTTTTGGCAACGACTTTGAGGCGTTGCAGGTGCTAACCCTCACGCAGGGCGGGTGGGTGTGTGGAAGGCTATTGTTTGATGATAACATTTAGGTTGGCCCAAGCATGATTTCTTTTTACGTAAATAATATAAGATAAGAATCGAACATGATTTTTTGGGGTATATAGCCTGTTAGGACAAAAATTGAAGGCTTGGTCAGGTGTGAACCAGTGCATGCTGTCATGTCGTCTATTGGGTCATATCATTGAGACTTAGATTTGACCCATATGGGGACGTTTTTTTTTCTCCATTCTCAAATGGCATAGACCGACATATAATGAAGCTTCGAAAATGAACATGCCATTGAAATTATTTGATACTTCGCCATTAAAACGCGGCGATTAGTTTTCCCTATTTTCAGACAAACCATATAGTTCACACATGCAAGTAGCACCACATCCTGGAATCAGCGCTTCTGCAGCCATTGCACTTCAGAACGTAGAAAGGACGTAGAAATCGGCGGCGCATAGGAAGATGAAACCAAACCATGATGAAATAACAGGCCCAATGGTTTGTGGATATATACATCAATATTGTATATATATATATATGTATTGTCTTATACACTTACACAATTATATGTTCTTATATACGCAATGTATATATATATATATCTAAATAAACAAGTAAATAAATACATAGATAAATATAAACATATATTTGTGTATGATATGCATATACCACTGCATATCAAACGGAATCTGTCACCGTCCGGCTCAAAGATCCTCCTGAAAAAATGGAGGTGCCAGCCGGGTGCCTCAGACCTCATGACACCCAGATAGGGGGGCATTTCAGGCTACAGGGAGCCATGGATATATATGATGTTTCATAGATACGTTTGTATGGTACATACCCATAGTAATTTATATCTATCTATCTATAAATATATATATATAATTATATATATACTGTATATATGTATACGTATGTATACATGTAGGGTTTTATACCCCGTTGTCCCCAATATGGTTTGGTGAAACTCCCACAATATCTCCCCGGATTCAGCAGGCAGGAACGATGTACAGCATCCAGGAGGTCGGCACAAAAAGCGTCGGATTTCCGTGGTCTGGGCCGAAAATGGGGCCACACCATGCAATACCAAAAAAACCCATGAAATTCCAGTGAGAACTTGGACGATCTTAGGGATTTTAAGTGATTTTAAGTGATTTTATATAGATGATGTTCGATGATCTTAAGTGATTTTAGATGATTTTAAGGCCCTGTAGTCCAAAATTCATCTGAAATCCCTGAAAGGGCCCAACCAACCCATTTTCAGACAAACCCATGGTCAGGGTGAAGTGGACGAACGAGGTCCAAGCTTCCAGGGCGGAGAGACGTGACTCACGTTTGGGCCGTTTGGGAATGTAACAAACCATGGAACGTGGCAATGTTTCGTAGGTATATGAATGTGTCTGATCTACAAATGGATAGATGCAGGTCATTTTCCCTGCACAACTCATCATGTCATGTGATTTTCACGAGCTTTGCATCATTTTTTTTGCGAACGCATAGACGATTTGATGTCTTCTGGTGGATTCTTGTGGTCCAAGAATTACCACACACGTGTATATCATGCGGTCTTGTGGGAAAAAAGGATCACTTTGTGATCGTTGTGGCACCCTTGTGGGCAGCAATATTCCTATGAGATCCCCATCATTTTCCCAGAGAAAATCTTGGTTTAAAGCACATGAAATTCCATATGACTGTAGCCGCCCGTTTGCATAATATGGATTGATGGAGGATGAGATTTATCATATGAGGATAAGTATGATAAAAGTGTTTAATCACATTCAAGACTCAGACAATTCTACCACAAGCTGATCAATCATTGAATAGAGAGCAGTTCGCCAGTGATTCTATTTCTGGCTAACTAGCTGTTGGATTCTAACATTTCTAGAAGACTGGGATATCTGGGATTCGAAGCCATGGCTTATTCAGTACAGTAGCTTTCCAAGCTTTGGAGTCCTGGAGGATCTTTGCCCAACACGGCCCCGCTGTCGCAGATCATCCGACCAGAGGCCCTCGGTTTTGGTGAAACTCTGAGATTCCGGAGACCGCTTAGGGGACTTACTACTACCATGTAACATATATATATATAAATAATATATATATAATATATATATATATAATATAATATATATATAATATAATATATATATATTATTATATATATATATATGCCCCGGTCCGCGGCCCGGTACCCCCCCCCCGATGGTATGGTCCCCCAGGCCGGCTACCCCCCGGCTACCCCCCAGATTGTGGTCCCCCCTCCGCACTCTGTAACGCAGCATCAAGTGTCTGTGCAAGTACGAGGGAAGATCTTGTAACGTAGCACCAAGCCCAAGCGTCTGTGCAAGTGTGCAAGTACAAGAGAAGATCTTATAACCTCAAGTGCCTGTGCAAAAACAAGAGAAGGTCTATTAATGTAGCACCAAGTGTCTGTGCAAGTGCAAGAGAAGATCTTGTAACGTAATATCAAGCGTCGACGGAAGTAGGAGAGAAGATCTTATAACTCCTTATAACGTTGCATCAACTGTCTGCGCGTGTACAATAGAAGGTCATGTAACGTAACATCAACTGTGTGTGCATGTACCAGAAAGGATCCTATAACCTAGCAGCAAGGGTCTGCGCAAGTACGAGGGAGG